CTTCAGAAGTTTAGACATTCTTCTGTAACCGATGACATCATTATGCTTTGCAACAATTAGGTTGTGAAGGTCTTGAGAGAGGCTATTTCTATGTTTTGTTTTCCATTTTCCTCTATCCATTGCAGAGCCAGCAATATTGCTATAAGTTATGTGGTGTATACTGATAAATGATCTGAAATTCTCCTCTTAATACAGATGTCATTAGCTGGAATATAAACTGCTCGACCTGTCTCAGGATCTTTAGAACCATCAGTAAAAATAATAACGTCATTGAGAAAATGTTGCTCACAATATTTCTGAACTATACTGCATGTTGATAATTGTTCTGATTTCTTTTTTAATTTCTCATATATACTTATGTCTACCTTTGGTAATGAGAATAACCATGGAGGAATTGGGGACAATACAACAGTGAGACTATATTGAGCCAAACTGTGCTCTTACCCTGCTAATTGAACCTTCACACTCTGCTCTTACTGGTGCAATGTGCAATTAATGAAGATTGACCACCAGGCTGGTCCAATTTAGCCATGAAACCTCCCACACTAAAATGACAGGTGTTTCAGTTTCATTGTCCAACCCCTGTACATTCAAATTGTGGGTTAATTCGTGTAATTTACAGACAATCAGAAAAACTTGACATATGACAAATGGTCGCTGCAAGACGCTTCTGGTCTAGCCTAGTGTTTTTCCAGCAAGGATATTATATTATTTCTGTTAACAAAACTATTAGCAATGTAAACATTTAAGAAAAATAATTTGAATGAACCACATTTTAATTTTCAAAATTACGGCAGCGGCCCCTTTTGGTCTTGGCCCCACTTTAATTCGTCGTTAGTTCCCAGTCTGATCAGAAATAAAGGTTTTACAAAACTAAGGTATTCAAAGAGTTATCTAAAACAGGCAATATTGTTCATAACATTTCCACAGAACCCCACTTGGAATCATCTGAACTTTCCTTTTGTATGTTTTAGATTAACACTGCTGTTGGCAAATACTACATTTAGATACCCTGTGGCTACATTGTTGTTGTCTGTGTGTGTGTAAATAATTTAAGAATGCCACATTGCAACTGCTGGGATGGAGCTCATGTTTTACTTTATTTATCACATGTCTGTATCATGGTTAGACTTAACAGATACAGTTTCAGGTAGAGTTCCAGTAATTTCTCTCACCCTGCAGCTCAGACAGAGGAGCTCCTTTGCAGTTCGAACCTCTTTGGAAATGTCTTTAAGAGTTTTCCACCATATCTAAAATAATGTACTGCAAACATCAGYATTGGCATACTCTGCTGGCCATGTAGCTGCTTGCTTAGTGTACAGATGATGTGTACTACAAGTTTAGGAGCATACAAAGTAAACTTCTGAAAGTTTACTACATTCGGTGACTCTGGACAAGATGTGAAAGAGTGGACAGTTTGAATACATGAGTCGGCAACTAATGACCTGCAGGATACCCCTCCACAGATCAAAACTAAAACAATGTTTGTACAAAAGTTGTCTTACAAATAAGGAGGTAAAAGACCAGAGTTACAGTTAGGAAAAATAAAAAATAATAGAAAGAAGGAGAGGTAAACAAGCTCGTTGAAGGGCTTCTGTCCCCATTTGCTTCAGACGATTGTTCTAAGATGTGCGCTGCAATTTTAATGAAGCCCGGACCAACATGACCCACAGGGCAGTTTAAGCCGCAACAGCTTAGCATTTACTTACAACCACTGGGAATTCAATTTACTAACTCTTAATCTTTTGCTATCTACCRCATTTTTGATTTTCAACTGAAAAAAGATTTTAAAAATTCTATTATTTTGAGCTTGTAATGAGCAACTGGGTCAACAAGTCATCAGCTTGATCCCTGGAGACGATCGCTCCTTCTGTCATACAGATTTTCAGCTCAACCTTTTTCTCTCTTTTTTAAATTAAAGCTGATCAAACACACAAGCAAATGCAGACTYGTAAATAATAAAAAAATAAAAATAAAAAAGGTGCTAAAGTGCAAATCTTGTCATGACCCAGTTTGAACCACCTTGAGTGGAATGGAAATGCGTTTGACTAAAGCAGGCAGAGAGAGCTGAAGAGGACAGCAAAGCTTGAAGGCAGCTACAAGCTGCTGTTTCTGCCAGAGCCACTCTGTCTAATTGAGCCTCTGTGACTGGAAACCCCGACGGGCTCTTTGTGGTCATTGTTAAGGGTCAGAAGATTCAAAGTGAAGCGTGACACGTAGTCAAGTTGAGCAAAGCCTCTGTTTTTTTTTTTCTTGTGGGACATTGATAGGGATTTGACTGACACCTGATTGGCAGTGGGGATGGAAAAAACAAGGATGAATTTTTAATCTTTCAATGGCATGAAAGAGATCTAGTGTCATTTTGTAGCATTTACCTGACATTCCACACCTATGCTGYAAACTGATCTGCTCCTGTAAAGTGTTGAAGCATTATGCATGTGTGTGTGTGTGTGTGTTCGTAATCCCCAGGACCTGTCCACTCTGCAGTGTGACGTGTGCATCTTGGTCTTCTCAGTGACTGACAGGAGAAGTTTTCACCGAACCGCCCAGCTCCGCCTCCTCCTCAGGGAGTCCCAGCCGCACACACCAATCATCCTGGTGGGAAACAAGAGTGACCTCGTCCGGTCCCGGGAGATCAGTTCAGACGGTAGGCGGGACACTACCACCCATAAAAACAGTTTATTAAAGCCCACTCCTCCAAAATAAACTTTACAATAGATTTGTAGCTTTAACAAGACGTAAAATAATTGATTGTCTTTCAACACATAAGCTGTTCAAATAAAAAGCATGTAGTATGATAAATGGGTATTTCCTAGAGAGTTTTTTTTTTGTCTTTTTTAAATTAAAACATGAGGATAAATGTTTTGTCATTGACCTCAGATAATAGCTAGTAACTATATTTTTAAGGACAAACTGATAAAAGAAAAAAGCTAGTTTTGAAACATTCAGCAAATATTTTTTGTCATATGAATTTAGTTAATATTTTTTGTGGATGCTCTGGCAAAATAATGACTTGGATCGGATTTTTCCATAACTGTCTGAACGTGACAAACTTTTGTTTTTAATTACTCATGTGTATATATA